TTATTATTTACTATTTAAAATTCAAATATCAACGGTAAAAAATGATAATTGTTTTTTAAACTCGCCTATCTATGCGGTCCTACCCTAGTATATATATCGCGACTAGCTAACAAAGGATTATATTTTTATTATTTGGTTATTGCGTCCATTATATAGAACCACACCTAACAAATGATACATTTTGTCGCTGTCTTCGTTTGTATTCTGCTTCCTTCGTTTCTCGTGATTTTGCTTTTAAGCTAGATTTTGCATAATCATTAATAGATGAAAATCAGAGAATCAGATTCAGTAAAATCTGTGTTTTTTGCGGAAGTAACTCTGGTCATAGATAAATTTTCACTAATGTTGCAATCGAACTTGCATTGAACTGGTTTGCTCATTTTTCTTTTATTTCTTTACTCAAAAAATGATTCTTTTATTCTGAGATTAAAGATATGAACTTTTCTAGCAAAGAACGGAAAAATCAAAACTTTTTAGTGTTTTTGAGAGCCAAAATACAAACTTTTTGATATCTTCTTGTTGGTGTCAATGATTTAAGACATGGGTTTGAGTTTGTTTTCTCTACCAAATTTTATGGTGGAGGAAGTGTTGGTTTAATGGGATTGATCTCTCTGTCTTAGAAGGTGGTTGTCATGTACTCGGGTTAGCTTTTAGAGCCTCTCTGACACTTTTCCTTCATTTCCTTAACAAAATTTTCATTTTAAGAGTTTAAGTGAATGGAAAGTATTGTTTGACAAAAAAAAAAAAGAGCTTTTGATGTATTTATGGATCCATTTATTAACTTCTCTACCTCGTATTATTTTCAATCATGGTACATGATATTCATCATATTAAAGTTCTTGAATTATTTTAAGCCATGGAACGTAAATAATAGCATTTAAATCCTTTTTTCTTAATTATCGTCGAATTGAATGAATCCATTTGTGACAATACAATGAAAAAGACATAAAGGAATAGTAACATTGACCAATTTTCATCTAAGATACATTAGCCAATCATTGCATTAAATATGCCCATACAAAAAAATGTGTCTACTTCAATTGAACGTAACACGCTCTCTCCCGCCTGAAAATATATCAATCACATGGTAACGGACTACAACAATGTTGTCTTGTTACATTGCAACTGTTAGGATCTCTCTTGTCATCTATATTCAAACAAATATCAACTATTGTTATTTGGGATCATATATATGATTATAAAAAACAATTGTTAAGAATTAAAACTTATGAAAAACAATTGTTAAGCATAAGGCATCAAATATATTTGGACTATATGTTATTATCTTTTTTTTTGTCAAACAACTATATGTTATTATCTAAACTATTTATTTATTTAATTTTTGCACAATGGACATGAGAATTAGGATTAAAATTTATAGAACCACCATACCATTCGACAGATTTAAATCGTTTAAGACCTCCATCACTGCTAGAAGACTTAATATGCTATTCCAAGTGCTTATGACTCTTTGGTTGCACTGACGTTTGACACATCCACAACCACAACTCTGGTTATTACTTTCTAGTTTTTTTTTTTCTTCAAGAAACCAAATGTAAAGATTTGTAAAACCAATTATTTTATTTATAGAGTATATGATTTATATTCTTAGCAAAGAAAACATTCGACAATTTTATTAACTTTATAAGAATTAAACTTTGTTATCAAATTGAAGATAGACGAAAGAAAAATGAAAGTTGAAAATGTGAAATGTGAACACAAACCGAAACCCACTCCCACTTTGGGATGTGTAGGGTTGGACGACGAACAAACCCCATTACGACACGTGACAGGCTGGGCATTCTCCACATGCTTTCTTGCCGAAAGTGGAAAGAAAGATATGGTCATAACCCATAACCATCACAAGATTATAGAATAATATATTATAGGATTTGTGACTTTGTGTGTGTGGTCACTCATATTCCTCCAATCAATCAACATTACATATAGTCTCTTATTAATTGAAAATGAGTATATATTTAAAAAAAAAAAAAAACTTAGTCCCTCTACATTTAACCAAAACATTATCAACAAAGCTATTAGATTTGTCTCTAAACGTAACAAAAAAGAGTAACACATTATAAGCAGATTTATCGTTTTCTGCTGTATCATAATTCAAAAGTAAATTCTCAAAAATCTTCTGAAACGAAAAAAAACGAAATGTGCATTATGAATAAAAGTGAATCGATTAGAACAAATCCCAGAAGGGAAGTTCTCGAGAAAGCTTTAACAAAAAAAGAAGTTCTCGAGAAAGCACAAACATATAAATGATTCCAATATTCGGACATATTATCTACTATTTATTTATGTATTTTCGGGCATCGTTTCTAAAGCAAAAGTTAACACACATATACGGAGATTATTATTTCTTTCTTTAGTTTTCTATCTGTAATCTGTGTGACCGGAGCATTGTACATAAACACACGTTACTATCCTACTATATTATTTGGGAAGTACATTTTAAATCTAACCTTAATTGTTATAATTAATTACGTGATAATACCATTAGAAAAATTTAATCAAAAACAAAATCCTTTAATAATGTCATTAAGGTTACCAAAATTATTTAACGATAATATTCATCTCTTAATTATAGGGTTTATTGGATCTAAAGACGGGTTATCAAAGATTTCCTAAACTGAAGCAAAATATATTGAATATTCAAATATCTATCTGTTACCAAATTATAAACAAATAAGTTCATAAAACAATTTAAAATTTTATATACGAAATCAATTAAATCTTAATCACATAAAAATTAGCACAAAAAAAATGTTATGTGGTATGTATAATGTTACTATATATAAAATTAAACTATAAAATATAAATGTATTAGAGAATGATACAATTTGCAAAACTTTTATATATAATAAAAATTCTTAAATTTTAAAAATTACTATTTTAAAAAAAAAATCACGGGACGGGTAAAGAAATTACAGAACGGGTTTTAGTTTGGAATTGGGTTATACGGTAGATGTATTTGAATCAATATTTATAAAATTTTAAAATATTAGTAATATGCTGTTTTAATAGAGATTAAAACTTCAGTTTTTTAACAATTTTCATGGATTCGTGGTATAGTGTTACTTAATAACAATTATAAACTGTAAAATATAAATATTTTATAAAAATAAAATTTACAAGTTTTAATATATATTACTTTTAAAAGATAAATCGTCCCGCGGTATATCGCGGGTTAAAATCTAGTATGTATATGTTGGCACACACCTCAATATTCTAAAATATAGTATTTAAACTAGATGACAGTCTCAGTACAATTTTTTTGCTAAAAATGTAAATATTCATTTCACAATGAAAATTAAGGTTACACAAGAAAGCATAACCAAATTTATGGTCCCATGCCAAAAAAGTTTAAAAAACATGGAAGCATACACAGTCTCAGTACAATTGATTATCAAAATAATTGGCAAGGTGTTCTTATGGATTTTTAATCCGAATAGAAAAGATAGATTTAGTTATATTATAATAATAAGTAGATAACATACTGTAAATGATGCATAACATAATGTCTTTAACAAATTCTTTTTTTGTAACGTTATGTAATGATGAATGAAAATGCTTAATTGATTTTTACATGTCTTGCATGCGAAGTAGCTAGAATATATTGACTGTGAGATTGAAGAAATGTGTATGCTGGCTTCGTTTAATCCAGACGCCAGCTTCGTCTTTATAGTTTTATGTGTTTGTGAGAGCATACCCGGATTGAGCATCGCAACACGCCGCACCAAAACTCTCTTTGACGCCGTTTTGGTTTGTCCTCATACATGATTGTGTCATAATATTACACTGCCTGGATGACAAAGTACATGATCACGATTATCTATTGATTTTTTTTTCCTGCTTAGCTCGTTAGAATGCTACTTTAGATATAGATTTTCATCAGTAAAATTGTGTAATTCTAGTCTACCATATATATATATATATATATATTCTTTGTTAATGATAAGTAAATTGTATGTTATAAAAATATATTTTGTGTCAACCTTAATGGTATTTGTAAATTATATTGTAAGTGACAACGTATTAAAAGATAGAACTTAACATATTTTGTAAGATTTGAGGTTTTGAGAATTTGAGTGACCAATCTGCTTTCCTTCAAATCTTTCGGGGATGCTTTCTCAATTCACCGTGATCTCACATGTTTTAATGTATTTCCAAACTCTTGTCTCAAAGCTCTCATGGTCTTAAAATCAATTAATCTTATCTATCTTTTAGTGGCATTAGAGAATGTCTTTGTTGTATTGTTATAAATTTTGGGTTTATTGAATCTTCTTCTTTGTACTTGTTCTTATTCGAATGAATGAAAGCAAGTTATTTGACCCAAAAAAAAAAAAAAAAAAAGAATTTGACAGATTTTTCCTAAACATTTGGGATTATGCGCTTTAAGTTTTGCATATTTAAGATAGACTTATGGCAGATTTTGCTATATAGTTTTCTGTTATTTTCTGCCTTGTTTGTCCAGATTAGACAGTGTAAAGCCTTCCAATTTTATGGTGAAAACGGAAACAAAATAAACCAGTCGGGCTTGGTTAGCAATGACCAAATCATATGACCCAAAAAGGGAGGATTAACTAGAAAATTGAAGTAAATATATCAATATTACTATAAAATAATAACTTTCTTATCTTTTTTGTGTCCATTATCTTCAAGATTATCTGTATCCAAATAATTGGAGAAGAGAGAGAAAATAGGATTTGTTAGGATTTCTCTCGATCCCTCTCTCCATTTTGGCTATAAAAAAGCCACAACAGGGTCTCAATTTCTTCCCACAACCAATGAGCCAAAGATAAATAAACACCTATCCTATAAGAATTTCGAGCAATGTTCCTCCATAATGGAACATCTATATATATAAAGGTATCCGTATATCTCTATATATTATATTCAATGAGTTTAAAGTGGCTAGGGTTTATAGATGTATGTGAGATTAAGAGATATGAAATATATTTATGGATGGTTTTAGTGGTGAGGAATTGATGGTGACAGAAGAGAGTGAGCACACATGGTGGCTTTCTTGCATATTTGAAGGTTTCATGCTTGAAGCTATGTGTGCTCACTCTCTATCCGTCACCCCCTTCTCTCTCACTCTCTCTACACCATTTCATTCTTTTGGTTTTACAAACATGAATCAGCAATTCAGCATATTAAAATGTCAATTGATATACCATTATTATGTAGATCGTGTCATTTTACGATCGCCACACCCTCACTCTGTGTCCCCTTTTTTTGGCGTCTCTTTATCGAGAGAAATATATATCCTGATTGGCTTAATCTCATCAGCTTACATATAGTTTGGTATTTTTGAACCTCTCAATATTTGTGTTGGACATGTGCAGAATTAAAGTCGACTTTATGGAAGATCCAAAGAAATCAATATCAATATTTTATAGCAATATATGTGGAGTAGATTTCAATTGCTTTTGTTTCTAACTTTCTATGATATGTATAGAAGATTCAGATCTTTTCTTGAGTTTTTTTTACTGGTCAAAGATATTTTTTTCTTATAGTTTTATAGTTTTGTTGTTTTTGTTAACCCTAACATTTGCAAGTCTTTTTAATTTTACAAAGATTATTTTAATACTTCATAAACATTGAAATCCATTTCACATCCTTGGTATTACATTTTTTTTTTTTTGAATATGATGTTAAATTATACTCAAAAGAAAAAGTTACTGGGTATTACAAGTGAATGTAAAAACTTTTCAAAATTATCTACAAAAAATTTGGAATTTCTAGACTTGATTTCTTCTTGTTGCAAACCAAAGGACTATGCCTTCTTCATACTTTGAATTGCCTCCCTTTTGAAGTGTGCTGAGCCGGTTTCGGATGTTCTTATCGATCATCTTGACTAGTGTTGCAGTTGGTAATGGTTGCTCCCATGCCTCCTGTTGTTTCTTTCCCGCCACAATGAGTGAATGGTGTTTTGAAACACGTACCGAATGATGAATGTCTTTGTTTGGTCTCTGTTTCGTTCCATGATTAGCTTTAGAATCTCTTTCCAAGCTGCCGTGAACTTGTCTAGAAGCAGCCCTCTTGTGAGCTCATCCCATATCTGAAACGTGTATGGGCATAAGAAGAAAAAGTGGTCTCTCGTCTCCTCCGGATCTGACAAAAGACACAAGTAGTATCTTAACTCTCGTCCTTGGTATTACATTATTAATAACATCTTAACATGTAGTCTTTTTCTCTTCTTTTAATCTCTTGTTTGTATACTCAAAAATTCTTATACAAATGAAATCTATCTTGAAGCCTTATTGAAAAAAGAATAACCACACTTCATATCTCTTGGTTGGAGTCTATATGTTTTTACAGCTACCTCTATCTCTCATTCTTTGCACTTCATTGATTTACATGGGGATAATGACGATCCTTTTAACTTGTACTTTGTTTGCCATTTGGTAAGATAAAGATTTGGCCTTGTATGTTTAATATAGGTCGTTTGTCATCTCACACTCTTTACACTACTAGTCTTACATCAAAACAAAAAACAGTAGTCTTACATCAAGTGCCTTTGCAATTCGAAAAAAATTAACGAAATTTAAATTTGAAATCTAGTTATGTACTCCTTGATGTAAAATTTGAAATGGCTCATGTTGTATTTTGAGAATTGTAAAAAAATATCAAACTTTATGAGAAGAGAGACTCGATTCGAATTCCAACATGAGCCATTGTATGAATTGTATATGAAGTTTAATTACTTGTTTACATTGTGTGTATATTTCAAAACCATATGTTTCTTCTTCTTTTTGTCATATCCATTCGTTAGTTCTCTCATCACCACGAATCAAATCAACATCATTCCCAAAGTTTTTTAATCTAATAAGATGTGGGACTACTTCCTTCCCAAGATCTGGTCTATCTCTTTTTCTTAGCTCCGCACATTTCAACGCTAGAGTAGCAAAAGATTGAGCCTCTTGTACAGGCCAATCAGGGACAACGGGGTCAAGCATTTCCTTGAAAGTTCCTTTACTAATTGCCCTCGAAACTTGGTGAGCCAGCCCCATGGGAGGCCTTCCGGTTATAATCTGAAGTAGCAATATCCCCAATGAGTATACGTCTGATTTTGTGGTTAACATTCCTGTTTGTTGGTATTCAGGGTCTATGTAACAAAACGTTCCTGCCGCGGATGTCATGTGGAATTGCGTGACGCTATCAGCTATCGATGCGGGGACTAACCGCGCTAAACCAACGTCGCTGATCTTGCTCACGTAGTTTTTGTCTAAGAGTATATTGGCTGGTTTGAGGTCGCGGTGAACTAAAGGCTCTGGCTTAGCTTGATGAAGGAATGAGAGTGCGGTAGCAATCTCCGCCGCTATTTCAAAACGTTTCCTCCACGAAAGCGGTGGAGAGTTTCCAGTACGAAAGAGTCTATCCTCTAAGCTCCCATTTTCCATGAACTCGTAAACCAAACATCCATATTCAGGACATGCACCAAGGAGAAGAACCATGTGAGGATGCCTTATGGAACATAGAACCTCAACCTATAAAATAAGAACAAAAATATGTATGATTTACGCAAAAGCATAAAACAAAATAGAAAATAGATAAAATCTTACTTCTTGTTGAAATTGTTTTTTTCCTTGAGCAGCATCAGGTCTTAAAACTTTAATGGCAACAGGAGTGTGGTCAAGTTCACCATTGTACACAGGTCCATATCCTCCTTCACCAATCTTCCTATGATTTGCAAACCTCTCTGTAGCTTCTTCGATCTCTTCTATCGTATATTTTCTGTAGCGAACATCGTTATGTGCCAAAGCACTCACTGCGCGGTCTTTGTCCTTTTCTTCACTTACAGCTTTCAACTCTGCTTGCTTCCTTCTTTGTCCTTCTAGTTCAGCCATTCTTTGAGCTTTCTCAGCTGCTTCTACGGCTGTTCTACACTTTGCTTTCTCTATTTCAGCAACTGCCAATGCTGCTTCTTCAGAAAGCCTCGCTTTCTCGAATTTACGAGCTTCTTCTATCTTCCATTGATTTAGCTCGTTTGCCTAGAAAATAAAAGAAGCCATGAGTACCGTGTTCAACAAGAAACTTGCTCAAATTAAACTATATACCTTTCTTTTTGCCGTAAGTGCTTCTTTACAAGCTGAGCTATACATATCCATAGTTTGCTTAAGTTCAAGCTTTAGCCTTCTCATTTCAGCTTCAATATCTTTCTGCAAATAAAGCAAACAACCATATAGGGATTTAGAGCCTTCTAACCTTAACTCTTGAACCACAAAAAGAAAATCATTTGAGAAAACATACAGTTGATTGTGGAATCGACTCTTCTGAAGAACTCGAAGCACCATGATAAAAATCCATACTATTATGAGAAGAGAGATCAACTGAACCCATCACTCCAAACCCACCATCAGATTCATCAGAAAATGAACTTTGTAACGTGGGATTTCTTTGAAAGGCAGCTTGATTAAAGCCGTTGTTGAAATCCATCGACCCATTTATAGGGCTTTTGTAACCTTTTTGCGTGGTGTTGAAGGCGGCACGATTATGCGGATAAGTAGTCTCATTAGGTTTGTTCCTTGCACTACGCTGGACCCTAAAACGTATCAAGAAAACAATAACATTTGCTTTTAGTAAAAGTTTTGAGAGAAAACTGATAAAAAGAACCGAAGGTTGGGTTACCTAGGTATGAGATCTTGCTCGCTATCGGATAAAGATTGGATTAAAAAGCCAGAGGATGGAACACGAGGCGGGGCAAGCGTATTGGTGATAGGTCTTTGAGCTGGTCGGGAAGACTGAACTTTGCCTCCTTTAGAAATGACATACACCGAACAAAAATCAGGCGTCGATTTCATTATGCTAGATTGCACCTCATGTGGTTTACTAAACATAAAAGACCTAGCGAAGGTGTTCTTCGTGGATGCTCCCAATACAAGATTGTTAACCAGGTTGTTATTAACGTAATCCAAGATTGTTTTTGCTACGTCGGAATCGTCTAGAACAACCTCCGTCATAGAAATCTACTAAGAGTGCATGGCGTTAAAACATTTCTGTTCATATATGCTTGAAAACGAAATGGATTAACTATATATATTATACCCCTTTTCGCGCGCAATATCCTCGATATGGAATAAAAAGCTGATTTAGATCATCATTGTTCAAGTTGGCTCCATCTGCAATTCATTCAAAATCTTTAACGTTTTGAAAACACATGATGATTCATAGTAGTTCCAAGAATGATAATAGATTCAATATTATAGGATAATGAGTATAAGGTACCTACGGTTTGAATTTTTGGTACGAACATGGACAAGAATCATGACTGGATTGTGAATCATATTGAGGAGATGGTCGACGGCCCAACGAACAGCGTAAGAACTATGTTTCTCTTTGTCTATTGCAACGACCGTTGAGTTCACCGGAGAATGGATATCGTCGGACGAGTACGGTGAAGCCATCATGGTCATACCACACTAGGCAGAATTATGTCACCGCAAAGGAGCTTGTGGTCTAAGGTTTTCTTCTCTCAATTCAACGGACGAGACATCAAGTTTCTTTTTCTTTTCTTTTTTGGTAAATGAGACATGATCAAGTTCTTATCAACCATTGATTATTACCTATTTTTCTTTCGGTCAAAAAACGAAAGTATTTTTAGATACGTATTGGTAATAAATATGTACTAAACAGTTGTTTTTTTATTATTATATGGGAAAATCTCTTTAACGAAAAAACAAATATGGGAAAATCAATACAAGTTTTAAGAAAATATGGTGTTTAAAAACTAAAAACACATAATCTTTCATAATTTGCATTCTCTAAAAATTGAGCCTACCTTAGTATAGAAGAAGTCCTTAAATAAATACTATTTGATTAAATACTTGTTTTAAACTAATAACACAGGTCATCTTTTGGTGGGGGTATGACGATTTTAGCGTAGCCCGTTTTGGGCTTCGAGTTGATTTCGAAGCTTTGTTTCTTAATTAAGTGGAGTTACAACAGTTAGGGATGTGCTAAAAACTAAAAACGAGAGATTACTTTGAATTCGTAGAAGAAGAGAAAATCTGAAGAAAAATATAGAAAAAATCAGAAATCGATTTTGGGTATTTAGGGTTTTTGATTATGATAATTTTT